GTGTTTATTCTGTCCATGATGTCTTAAAGCAAAATACTGGTTACCCTTGGGTAGGACGAGTGGAGGGGCAGAAACAGGGAGTAAGACAAAAGTGAGGCACTCACTACCTTCTTGGACTCTGGGAACCCTGAGCAGAGTTCAAACCTTGGTTCTGCAACTGAGTGATTTTGAACAAGTAGCTTCAACTCCTTGTGTCTTGGGTTTTTCCATCTATAAAACGAGGCTAATGATACCTTCCTTCAAGTGCTGGTGTGAGAAGTCAGGGAAACATGCATGTGAAGAGCCCAGCAGCCTGTGTAGGCGCTGTAATGTGGCATTGTGAGCAGCCCTCCCCTGCTGCTCATGGCAGCGCAGGGTCAGAGGACAGAAAGGAAAGAGTGAGGAGGCAGAAGCAAACGGGAGGACCCAGCTAGCCTGATGATCTAAGATATGCCGAGACCACCAAATGCTCTATGGAGAGGGCCGTTTCTCCGCCCCACCGCCCACAAGGTCTCCTGAGTACTGTTGCCTACAAGCGCGGGCCAGCCCCCCCATGAAATCCAAATAAACTCGTTTTGGTCCCATTCATGCAGGCCCTTTAGTTTATCATGCCACTAGTCTGATAAACTAATTTGTACAGATGCTCTCCTCCCAGTTGCCGGCAGCTTACGGGATTTACCCTCCTGATGACGCATGGTTTGAACCAGAGCCTATGGACATATAAGGCCTTGACCCAGGAAGGATGGAATCTACCTAAGCCCAAGTTGGCAAGGAGCCAGAGATGCCTCTTTCCAAAAATCGAGACTTTTTTCTAACAATTTGTCCTGCGGGACACGGGACAAATTGTTAGAAATCGGTAAGTCTGGTCATCTTACTCTAGGGCACCCCCCAGGGAATACTGGTCAACTTATTCTAGGGAACCCCCCAGGGAATACTGGTCAACAAGCAGAGGAAGTGAACTGCTAATGCCCCAATGTGGATGGGCCTTAGGGCTCATGGTGAAGGGACAATGCCAGACTAGTCTTGGACCAGGGGAAAGGTATCCAGACTGTCAGGAAGCCTGGGGCCAGAGGTGGGGGTGCCTGCAGAGAGTGAGGGGACTTTTTGGGTGATGAAGGTGTTCTGTAACTTGATGGAGGTGATGGTTATCAGGGCATATGCATTTGTCAGAACCAATTGAACTGTATACTTGGAATGGGTACAATTTATTTTATGCAAATTACCCCGTAATATAATTGCTTTTAAACGAAAAAAAAAATGATGGATGTCTTAGTCACAGAGGTTGTGTCACTTTGGGAGTGATCCGGGAGGCCTCAGGAAGGAGCAACTCAGGAAGTTGTCTGTGGTCTTGTGGAGGCACAAAAAATAACTCTTCTTCTGCCTTCTGAGTTCTAGCTGAGCTAAAAATCAAATTGCCATGAGACAGATTAACAGGAGAAAATGTCCAAAATTTATTACAAATGCGCATTGGGGGGGTGGAGGAAGGAACGGGGGGGGGGGGGGGAGGTGGGCGGGGGGGAGAGTGCTGTAAGCTATGAGACCCAAAGACCCATGGGCAGCTGAGGTTTATACCTCAGTTTTGGACAAAGGTGGGAGGTGACAGAGGTTTTAAAGGATAGCAGGCAATTTACAGGTAGATGAGAAAGAGCAAACGTGACAATAAAAAATTCTCACGGGACAACCCAAAATCAGCAGTCTCTGCCAGGCTTCCCCTGTCTGCCAGTCAGTTTGTGAGGCTACCTTGATGCTCTCTTCCTTTACGCAGGTTTTCTATCCGAAGTCCTTGAGGTAGGTAAGAAGGGAAGATCAAAGATACTTTCTTTTTTAAAAATATATTTTTATTGATTTCAGAGAGGAAGGGAGAGGGGAGAAATAGAAACATCAATGAAGAGAAAGTGCCTCCTGCATGCCCCCTACCTGGGATCAAACCCGAAACCTGGGCATATGCCCTTGACTGTAATTGAAAATGGGACTCCTCAGTCCACAGGCTGACGCTCTACCCACTGAGCCAACCGGCTAGGGCTCTAAGACACTTTGAGTCTTTTGTTTTTTAATAACCAGCTTAAAGTCAAATTCTCTAAAGGCAGAGTTTAGGGTGGCAAAACGCTGGTCCCCCTCAACCCCATCATTCTCCCAGCACATTAACATCTGTCCAGTGCTTAGAATTAGCAAAGCACTTTCTCCTCTTTGAATCATCACACCCACCCGAGGAGGTGGGCACAATGAATCCCATTTTACAGCTAAGGAAACAGAGGCACGGCCTGGCTGAAAGAGCCTGCCGGAGCCTTCTGACTCTGAATCCCACCATCTTTCCTGGAATTGGCCTCACAGATCACCCAGGTCTAAGGGAACTCAGGTCCAGCGCATGTAAATAACTTGACAAAAGCTGTGCTGGAAGACGTACCTCCTCCTACAGCAACCGGAATGAGGAATTGTCAGCTGAGATCTGGCTGAATGCAGCTGGAGGGTGGGCTTTCACCTTTCAGTCCCCCCCAGCAATATTCCCTGAGCGGGACAGAGAAGCAATCTTAAACAAAAGCCTGGCTCCTCTGACTCCACCTCTGCCTGCCAGGAGCAGCCCCCACCCCACCCCCTTGGGTCCCCAGAGTCTTGTAACTAACAACTACAGCAATGCACACATGCATTACCTCACCACAGTCTGGCTGTTTTCCTAGCAGCGATTGTCCAAAGCTTGCTCCATTTCCCCCTTCTGTTGGCTGTACACCCTTCACCCATTCCTCCCCGCTGAAATCACAAAGCTCTGACCCCAGTGAGCCTGCAGGGGCCTCGGCCTCCTCCCCATAGTCCTCGGTTAGGAGGCCTCTGGTGCCCAGCAGTCAGATCCCATGGCCTCACTGTGTGTGTGTGTGTGTGTGTGTGTGTGTGTGTGTGTGTGTGTGTGTGAGAGAGAGAGAGAGAGAGAGAGAGAGAGAGAGAGAGAGAGAGAAAGAGAGAGAGAGAGAGAGAGAGAGAGAGAGAGAGAGAGAGAGAGAGAGAGAGAGAGAGAGAGAAACACGATGGTGTGTATATAGGGGAGACAGTTCCAAGAGAATGACAGGAACAGTTGATGGGGGTAAATTTTGGGGACAGGAATTGGAGTATGGAAAGAGGGAGAATTTGACTTTCCCCCCCTGTTTCTTTTCTGTTCCTCGTAAATTTTCCAACCGATACACATGCATTACATTTAATTTTTTATGTCAGTGAGGATAGTCTGGGTTGGGCCATTATGAGCCCTTTTCTTCTTATATTTATCTGTATTTAAAATAGAATTTTAAAGAACCTCTGAAAAGTATTAACTTCCAAAAATGAAATAAGCACCTAGGGTGCTCCTCCATTCCTCCACAGTGAACGAGACACGTAATAGCTTAAATAATAGAAGAACTATGAATGATTCACCCAAATAGATGGAGCCAGGGAGGGGTGCAGAAAGCAAGGGCCCGAGAGTGGAGGCCGCTGCCCATTCTCAGTGACTGCATCGCTCACCTTTGAGCCACTGTCGACCCTGTTTTGCATCTCCACTGGGGTCTGCTCCTGCATGACATTGTAATCCCTGAGGGTGCTTGCTTATGCCCTAGCCCCCAACACTCCTCAGACTAATTACTTGTTGAGGGCACGGCAAGGACTACCTTACTCATCTTTGATGTTTTTCAGGCTTAATGCATGGAAAGTAGAAACTGAATAAGCAGCTATTAAATATAATATAAGGCTCTCTCTGTGAAGTTGGGAGGTCTGTGGGTTGACACCACCAGGTAGGGCTAAAGCAGGCGCTCCCTTTGTCTGCTCTGTCAAGCGCCAGGTTGAGTTCAAACTCCTGAACGTGTTTACCAAGACCTTCCCTGCTCTGGCCCACACCTGCCTTTCTGCCTGGCTCCCAAGACAAATCCTGTGCCCCAGCAGTCAAACTGGTCCCTTCACCACTCCCGGAACGCCCCTTGGGGCTCCCTGCCTCCGGGCCCTTGCTCATCATGCCTTTCCCAATCCCTGCCACGCAAAACCCAAGTCACAACCCCCACTTCCTGAAGACTCGGAGACAGTGCCAGCAGGCTGAGTCGGTTCCCTCTTCCAACCTCCCAGGCGCTTCTCTGAGGGCGGGTCCCGCTCTTCATTGGGGTTATCTAAGCCTTCCCTGCCTTCCTCGAGGTGTCTATGGCACTGCAGGGCCCCAAGAAAAAAAGGGGCCAGAACCGGTTTGGCTCAGTGGATAGAGCATCAGTCTGTGACTGAAGGGTCCTAGGTTCGATTCTGATTCTGATCAAGGGCATGTACCTTGGTTGCGGGCACATCCCCAGTGGAGGGTGTGCAGGAGGCAGCTGATCGATGTCTCTCTCTCATCGATGTTTCTCTCTATCCCCCTCTCTTCCTCTCTGTGAAAAATCAATAAAAAATATTAATTCTCACTGCAACTCTAATGGCTTTAAAAAAAGGAAGGAAGAAAGGAAGAAAGGAAGAAAGGAAGAAGGAAGGAAGGAAGGAAGGAAGGAAGGAAGGAAGGAAGGAAGGAAGGAAGGAAGGAAGGAAGGAAGGAAAGAGAAAGAAAGAAAGAAAGAAAGAAAGAAAGAAAGAAAGAAAGAAAGAAAGAAAGAAAGAAAGAAAGAAAGAAAGAAAGAAAGAAAGAAAGAAAGAAAGAAAGAAAGAAAGAAAGGGAGAGGGAAGGCTACAGGGGTGTAGTTCAAGTCCCAGGTAGAACCAGGGTAAAGGCGGGATCCAGGCTGGGTTGGTGGTAGGGTGAGAACTAGGCATGGGTGAGTCCATCCTAATCCCACCCACTAGGCGGCGCCGGCAGGGCAGTCTCATTCCAGGCAAGACGCCTCCGGCTTTTTTTGAAGTTTATTACCTGTCTAACAAGTTTCCTTCCTGCCCGGCTGCTGTCCCTTTAAGAAGGTGATCCAGGTGAGGCCGAGGCCCCGCCCCCCGCGCCGGCCCCGCCCCCCGCCCCCTCTGGGCCTGTTTGGCTCGCTCAGTCCTCGCGCCCTGGGCCAGCCGTGCGTGCGGGCCACTGTCCCGGGTCCCGGCCCCGCGCCATGGAGTGGCGCTGGCCCCTGGGGCTCGGGCTCGGGCTGCTGCTGCTGCTGCTGCTCTGCACCCCGCTGCCCCCGGGGGCGCGCGCCAAGGAAGGTACCGACCCCGGACCCCCCTCCCCTGGCCGGGCTGGCACCCGCCTCCTGCAGCCGGCATTCCTGAGCAGGCCCTCCGCGCGCCCCTCTCCAGCTCTCCCTCCCGTTTTATGCGTCGCCAGGGCATCGACTGGCCAGGCCAATCTTTGGTCTTTGACCCCAAACAGCTGCTTTCACGGGCCAGTCATCCCCGCCTCCCGCTGGGCAGCCGTTCACGCCTGGGGGTGGGGTGCGAGCAGCAGCAGCGTCCAGACCCCCCACCCCAGCAAGGCGGGGGATGGGGGTGGGGGTGGAGAAGGGGGTTGTGCCCAGATAGTCCCAGCCTCAGGTGCCCAACCCAGAGATCGGAACACTCTGAAGTCCAAGGTGGGAAGTTGCCTTATTGTCAACCTAAGCCGGGTGACAGAGAGACCTGCCTCTGGGGGAAGGGTTGGAATTCAGGGTGTAGGAGGTCAAGTTCTTCCAGCCCTGCTACCCCCGACTTTCTAGACTCAGAGCTGTGCCTTGTCCTCCACTCCACAACCCCAGTCACAAGCAGAGCAGACCCTTTGCCAGTGGTGGGAGCCTCCTCTCCAGGAACCACCTCTGAGGACCCCCACGGGCTGAGCAACTGTCTCACCCATACACCCTTCCATCTGCAGCTGATGGCTCCCCCGCTGAGTGACAGGGTGCGAGTCTTCTGTAGCAGTTCTTCCTAATGCTTCCTGCCTTGGGTCAAAGATCCAGCCCTCCAACCCTTGTCTCGCTTTGCCTTCCTCCGGTCACACTCTAGAGGACAACAGGCTATTCTCCCTGGAGCTCTTCACTCCTCTAAGCCTCCGGAAATCCAAGCTGTTAGAAACAGGGTGTGGGAGCCTGAGGGGCTGGGGGCCCAGGATGAGGAATGTGTGCTGCACCTGTGGGGTCTCCTCCCCTGAGGTGACAGGCCTCTTTCCTCCCCACCTTCAGTCACTCTGATGGACACAAGCACCGCACAGGGCGAGCTGGGCTGGCTGCTGGATCCCGAGGATGGGGTAAGTGTCAGGGGAGGGATGGCTCAAGGCTGAGGAGGGCCAGTGGGAAATGGGGTGGAGAGGTGGGTGGAGGAACAGAGAAAAGAGCAGGAAAAACTGGAAGTGTCTCCTCTCCGAGGGGGAGGGGAGATGACTCAGAGAGCCTTTTGAATGGGGCATGGTGGGGTGGGGGGGGTCAGACTTCACCCCATGGAGAATGCTTCAATGCCTGGCTCCTCCCCTTTCTGCCCCAGTGATTGGGGGCCCGGAGGGGACTGAATACCCCTGAGGACCATCTGGGGAGAGACAGGACCATCCTGGGGATGGCTGATTAAGACAAAACAGAGAAGTATCCTCAATCTGAGGTCCATTCATCCCCATGGAGTTGCACAAACAGGTTCCAAGTGGTGAAATGTGTGTGTGTGTGTGTGTGTGTGTGTGTGTGTGTGTGTGTGTGGACTTTTCTTTTCTTTTCTTTTCTTTTTTCCTGGAGAGGAGAACCAGAGTTTTCATCAAATTCTTCAATGGGTCTGTGACTCCCCAAAATTAGAAGCTGCCTCAGTAAAAGTCCCACAGCCCGTGGTACTTCTTCCATCCTCCCCAGCGCAGGCACGCCATGCATTCCGGCTGTTTAAGTCTGCTCCAAGTCCCTTCGATATTCCTAAAACCCGGTGAGCAGAGGTAGGATCTCGTGAGTCCCGCAGAACACACTGGCCTCTCTGCAAGCCTGTCCAGGAACCGTGGGAAGCCAGCCCAGTTTCCTCAGCCTCCAGGACTCTCACCTTAGGTCTCCCTTCCCTCTGGTCCTACACCCTGTTCTCTGGGTACTCCCTTTTCCCTTTTCAAGTCCAGCAGAAGTCTAGTAGGCTTCTATTTCTGGGGTTGGTGTGACTTGCATTCCTTCCCTCTGGGTCCTAGGGTCCTGGCTCAATCTCAGCTCTCCCACAGAGTAGCCTGTAATTAGAATTAATAGTCTAAACCATAATGTATCCTACAGGAGGGGCTGCTTGGAAAATCCTGGATAAGGCCAACCCTAATAGGCGCCTCGTCTCATAAACCAGCTAATCACTCCACAATGAGGCTACAGGTCCACCTGCTGGCTCCCACGGGCCTTCGCTGTGCCCCTGCCACCTCCACCCAAATAACTCTTCCCTAATTGGGCCAGAGTGGAAGCCAGGTGCCTTTCGAAGCTCAGGCTAAACAGCACTGGGAGGACAAGAAAAGACAGCAGCAGTTACACAATCCCACTGTCTTCCTTGTCCTCTTTCCTCCTCATCGTGTTTTCAAAACACACACTCAGGTCCAGGCTTCCCAGAATGTACACACGTAGCAGCCAGCAGCGCCTGAGTGATAAGTGAAAGGATCCTTGCAGCTGATCCTGGGCAGCTGTTTCTCTCTCTCGCTCAGCTCACCGCTGGAACGAGGAGAGGGGAGGTACAGCTGGGGACATCTGCTTCTCCTGGCTCCAGCTGCAGGCGAGCTAATGAGCTGCACATTACCCACCACCCTCCCACCTGCCTGCCACCGCATGCATGCCTTATACTTGGCTTCCTCGTCACAACTGCCTCTTACAAACAGACGCTGGGTGCCTCCTATCCTCCCAGCTTCAGTGCTTCCACACCTCTTGCCCAATCTGTGAATTACCTAGCTTAATGCAAAACTCTGCTCCTGCCCCACAGCCATCCCAAATTCCTTTCCCAGAGCTGAGAGTAGCCATGAGTGCCCTTGCTTTATAATGGAGTGAAAGCCCTTGGGAAAGAGAACTTTCTCAGGTAAGGGCCTCGTAGTCTCTTTATAAAATAAGGGGGTTTCAAGCAAAATACAGAATTTTGGAGTTTCTTATGTACAGAGAGCAGGGAAAATACAAATAGCTAATATTTATTTTAAAGAAAGAATAATAAAATGGGAGGCTTGCCCAGACACTGGAACATATACAGCAACTATAATGAAAGCGTGTGTCATTGCACAAGAATACACAGGTCAATGGAACAGAATAGGAAGTTCAAAAAACAAGTCCACCTATATGAGATTTTACTGTGTGATAGCATTGGAATTATCAATCAATGTGGAAAGTATAAAATCACCACTAAATCGGCAATTGGATGCCTATAATTAAATGAAAAAGCAACATTACATCTCCACACTAAACAAAAAAATAATAGATTCTAGGGAGATTAAAATCTAGACCTAAAAACCAACCCTACAAAAACATTAGGAGAAAATATAGAATATCTTTATAAGTTTGGGATGGGAGAGCTAACCAAACAAAGCACACAACTCCAAAACCCTAAAGGGAAAGATTATAGATGTTATTGTAGAAAAATGTTAAATAATGTCAACATCAAAGATATTAGCAAAATAAAGTGGTGTGACGGGGAGAAAATATTTGAAACATTCATTTGAAGCAAATGATTAATGTCTATAATATTTTTTTAATTCATCCAAATGAACAATCAAAAGATAACAATAGATCACCCCAATTAATTCCATTATAAATAACTTATACAGTAGAATATCAGACAACAGATAATTGCTTAAAAATACAAATAGCCACTGAAGCCGGTTTGGCTCAGTGGTAGAGCGTTGGTCTTTGGTCTGAAAGGTCCCAGGTTCGATTCCGGTCAAGGGCATGTATCTTGGTTGCGGGCACATCCCCGGTAGGGGGTGTGCAAGAGGCAGCTGGTCTATGTTTCTCTCTTATCAATGTTTCTAGCTCTCTATCTCTCTCCCTTCCTCTCTGTAAAAAAATCAATAAAATATATTTAAAAAAAAATACAAATAGCCAGTGAATAAAAGAGAAACGTACAACCTCATCTCAAAAAAAATGTAAATTAAAATGGCAAGAAGCTATGTCCTGTCCATAAGTAAGAACATTATTACTATCTAGTGTTGATGAGCTTTGGAGAAAATGAGCTCTTAGGTACTGTTGGTGGAAGTATAAACTGATAAAGCCTTTTTGGAGGACAATTTGGCACTATCTTGTAGAACTGCTTTGATACAGCAATTCTATAGAGTTTTGATAGAAATTTGTACATGGTTACTAAAACAAACAAACAAACAAACAAATAAAAAACACCCTAGAAGCTACTTAAATATACAACCATAGATGAATGATTAAATAAATTCTGGTACATCTATACAATGGACAAGTATTTAGTGGATTGCTGAAAAGAATTAGGTAGATCTATATATACTCATGTGGACATCTTTCAAAAAAGTAGCTTACAGAATAACACGTGTATGTTTAAAAAAACACATTTATGTTGAACACATACACACATAGTAAAACATTAAGACACAGGAATTCAAACCCTCTGGCCAAGAGTTGGACATGCTTGCGAGGTACTGAAAATTGTCTTTGAAATTTTACTCCAAATTGTTAAGAGTGGCTTCTTCTGGCAATGGAGTGGATGCATGGGAGAACTTTCATTTTTTAATATATGCAAATGTTTGTCCTTTGACTTTTTATATTAATCACATAAAGACATAATAATTAATAGTATTAACTCAGGAGCCTAGAGGGCCTGGGTCTACATCCCAGCTCTGCGTCATAATAGCTGAGTGCCTTGGGCAAGTCATTTAACTTGGCTGTGACTCAGTTTCCTCATTGGAAGTGCTTGTAACTGTGACTAGCCCATGGGAAGCATGATATTAGAACTAGCCATTATTAACAAAGTTTAAAAATTCTTTTAATGTAAAAGAAATTAAAGGGGAGGATGTCTTAGAGTTGCTGATTTCAATGGTGGCCATTCCTGGAACACGTTAGAGAGGGTGAAATTCCCTTATTATTATTGTTTTTTAAAATATGTTGCTTTTTTTTTTCTTCAGAGAGAGAGGAAGGGGGAGAGAGAGACATCGATGTGAGAGAGAAACAGATCAGCTGCCTCCTGCATGTCCCCCAGTGGGGATCGAGCTACAACATGGGCATGTGCCCTAACTGGGAATCGATTCAGTGATTCTTCAGTACATTGGAGGATGCTCAACCAACTGAGCCACACCAGCGAGGACAGAGATTCCCTTATACAGAAAAGTTTTTTGCTGCCTCTTGCTCTCCAAGTAGGCAGAAAGGCTTTGTGAATAAGCTTTTGCTATAAAAGTCTATCCTTGCGGTACTTTACAGCTCTACTGATGATATAGGTCAACACTGGTGTTCAGACACTTGCACCTGGGGTGGGCTAACAGAAGGGACAATGGCTGGCTAGGGAGGGGAAGGGGGTATTGTATTGCCTGTCCTATATCCAAATAAATCCCTGACCCTTACACTTAACCTACTATCCTGGGGGTGAAGGGTGGAGAGCGGACAGGACAAATAGTGTGAACCGGGGGGCTTTGACACAGACCTTCCACCATCACGGGGGTTTGGGAGTAGAAGATAGATGGTGCCAGGGAATGTGACTTTGATGTTCCTCTGGCAGTGGAGTGGGATGCAGCAGATGCTGAATGGGACGCCCCTCTACATGTACCAAGACTGCGCAGTACAAGGAGGAGGAGACACTGACCACTGGCTCCGTTCCAACTGGATTTACCGGGGGGAGGAGGCTTCTCAAGTCTACGTGGAGCTTCAGTTCACCGTGCGGGACTGTAAGAGTTTCCCTGGGGGAGCCGGGCCTCTGGGCTGCAAGGAGACCTTCAACCTCCTGTTCATGGAGAGTGACCAGGACGTGGGCATTCAGCTCCGACGGGCCATGTTCCAGAAGGTACTTTCACTCCGCGGTGCCATTTCGGTCCTAACTCTGATCTCTGACTCACTCTTTTCCATGTGCCTACTCAGCTAAGAAAAAGAGACGGTGCCAGGAACAGGAAGAGGGTCTAGGTGTCAGATATAGAAAAGACAGTGGGACTCGAGTTCAGAGGAACTGGATTTGCGTGTCCTTTCTGCTGTGTCCCGGTTTGGGGTGCAGTACTCAACTTCTCTGAGCTTTTTTCCTTATCTTAGCATAGTGATCATAGTGCCAGCCTCGTCAACTGCAGAGGCTGTGCAGGCATCCGCTGAGGTAACGGCCTGCTGGAGGCAGGGGAGAGATGTTTCAGCTTCTTTCATTAGTATCCATGCCATCCTGCACGCCCCATCCCCAGGAGTATTCTCTCATACCTCCCCTTCCTTTCCTACTCCAAAAAATATGCTGGAGTGCTGGAGACTTAGGAGCGTACGATTATAGGATGTGCTCACATTTGTTTCCCCAAGAGATGCTGCTGTCAAGTTTGTGATTAGTATATACTAAATTAATCGTGACTCACTTTATAACTGATCACCCCATTGCCACGGAGGCGGGAACCACAACTTCAAATAGCAGGAGTCATATGAGCGGGAGCCCCACTGCCTAGGTTCCAGACCCAGCTGTGTGGTCTCCGACAAGGTCTTGAACCTCTCCTAGCCTCGGTCTCCTCAGCGGTTAGACGGGGATGGCTGTTCATCCCACCTCAGAGGGTCACCGCGTCGACTCGGTAGCATAGGCACCCAAAACGCTTAGCTCAGTAGCTCACGCAGAACCAGTGCCCGGTTGACGGCTGTGTAATTGTAAAGCACTAAGCAAGCAGTCGCTTGTGTTGTGTGATCGCTCTCCTCTGCCCCTGCCTTCTCCCCAGGTCACCACAGTGGCTGCAGACGAGAGCTTCACCATCCGGGACCTTGCCTCGGGCTTGGTGAAAATGAACACGGAGCGTAGCTCCCTGGGCCTCCTGACCCGCCGCGGCCTCTACCTCGCTTTCCACAACCCGGGGGCCTGTGTGGCCCTGGTGTCCGTGAGGGTGTTCTACCAGCGCTGCCCTGAGGCCGTGCATGGCTTAGCCCGGTTCCCTGACACTCTCCCTACACCTACCAGGCTGGTAGAAGTGACGGGGACCTGCTTGCCCCACGCCCAGGCCAGCCCCTCAGGAGCGCCTCGCATGCACTGCAGCTCCGAAGGCGAGTGGCTGGTGCCAGTGGGGAGGTGCCACTGTGAGCCTGGCTATGAGGAAGGCGGAGAGAAATGCCACGGTAAGGAGGCTCAAGGAGAGGCGGCGACAACCTGCAGGGTCTTGGGGGAGGGAGACAGTGTCCAAGTTGCCGAGGGAGGGAGGGAGGGTCAGAGGTTATGTAACTGGGTGAGTGTCTGAGGGCCCCAGAGAGACACATGCAGGGCTGTTTCCACTACAGGGGTGAGGGGAGGGTGCGATTCTACCTGGAAAAGCACGGGACCACCGCAGCTCTGTTCATTCTCTCTCCAGCCTGCCCAGGAGGCTCCTACCGGGCAAATGTGGACTCACCCCGTTGTCTCAAGTGCCCCCAACACAGCCTGGCCGAGTCTGAGGGGGCCACCATCTGTGCCTGTGAGAGTGGCCATCACCGAGCCCCTGGGGAGGGCCCGCAGGCGGCGTGCACACGTGAGTCCTGGCCCAGGGCCTGGCCATCCGCGAGGAGGTGCGGGCCCCTTGCTCAGCCCGGGTTAGGCTGGCATTGCCCAGAGCTGATCGGGTATTGGGCACTGAATCAATCACTTCAAGACTCCCCCCTGGCCCTTCTCCCCCTGGGAGAAAGCAGAGCCATAGTAAAGTTTCCTCAGCAGTAGTAAAGTTTCCGGTGGCCTTTGGGGGGGACTTCCAAGAATTGGGGCGGTGGGGAGCCAGCAGCTTGGGCTCCTACTGATGGCCCCTCTCCTCCCACAGGTCCCCCCTCAGCCCCTCAAAACCTGAGCTTCTCTGTTTCGGGGACCCAGTTCTCCCTGCATTGGGCAGCCCCAGCAGACATGGGGGGGCGCCAGGATGTGAGATACAGCGTGGGGTGTTCTCAGTGTCGGGGAGCAGCGCCAGGTGAAGGCCCCTGCCAGCCCTGTGCGGGAAATGTGCACTTCTCCCCGGGGGCCAGCGAGCTCACCGCTCCTGCTGTGCGCGTCGAGGGCCTCGAACCCTTTGCCAACTACACCTTCCACGTGGAAGCCCACAACGGAGTATCAGGGTTGGGCAGTGCCAAGCCCTCCCGCACCTGGCTCAGCGTCCACATGGGGCACACAGGTAAGGGGCCCGGGGAGGGGCAAGAGCACATGGAGTGGCTGGAAGCCATCCAACAGCTCCTCAAGTCATTTCCTCTTTTCTTCCACATGCGCCGGCTCCCTCTGGACTCATAGAGTCACCAGTAGGCCTGTCCCTGAGGCTGGTGAGGAAGGAGCCCCGGCAGCTGGAGCTGACCTGGGCGGGGTCCCGACCCCGCAGCCCTGGCGGGAACCTGACCTATGAACTACATGTGCTGAACCAGGTGAGAATCTCCATGTCCTTGCCCTGACTATTTACCAACCCTCCCACTTCCCATGTGCTCCCAAGATCACCCCTTACCTCCACCAGGCCTGGCTCCACCCAGCCCACTCAACCTGAGTCCCCCACCCACAGAATGAAGAGCGGCACCAGATGGTTCTAGAACCCAGGGTCCTGCTGACTGAACTGCAGCCAGACACCACGTACATCGTTAGGGTCCGAATGTTGACCCCGCTGGGCCCCGGCCCATTCTCCCCTGACCATGAGTTTCGGACCAGCCCACCAGGTGGGTGGCTTGTCCTTTGTTCTGCCCCAAACACACAGACACCTGTCCACCCAGGGAGGCTTCTGAGACCCTGTTCCAGTCCGTGACCCTTCCTCTCTCTCTACACATGCACGCATGCACACAAGCACATGCAGAAGCTGCTTCAGGGGAGACTCACACCAGCCTCCTCACACACAGCTTCCCGACACTGGATACTTCTGGCACAACACCCTCAGATCTCCTAAAGGCCCAGCCGCAGGCAGCCTAAGCCAGACCTCTGTGGCAGCCCTTTCCACATATTCTCCCTCCCTCCCTTCCTTTCTCCCTCCCTCCCTCTCTCTCTCTCTCTCTCTCTCTCACACACACACACACACACACACACACACACACACCTACCTGTCTCCCTGGACTTCTTCGTCCCCATGGACTCTGACCCCCCGACTTCCTCACAGTTTCCAAGGGCCTGAGTGGAGGCGAGATCGTGGCCATCATCTTCGGGGTGCTGCTGGGCGTGGGGCTGCTGCTCGGGATGTTTGTCTTCCGTTCCAGGTGCTACTCCTGCCCCTCCCCAACTACCACCCTGGGACCCTTGTCTGGTTAGAAGGCCCTGAATGCAGCCCCAAGGACCCTCCCACCCCCTAACACCAAAGCTCTACTGTGTCCCCACCTTCACCCTGTACCCTGGGGGAAACTCAGCCAAAGCCATTGGGCCCCTGATGTGGTACTGCGACCCTGGATAAATTGTCCGCACCCCTACCCTCATCCGCAGGAAACGTCGACTGCGACAGCAGCAGAGGCAGCTTGATCGTGTCACTAATGTGAACAGAGGTGAGCTAGGAGCAGCTGTGTGTGTGCGTGCGTGCGTGCGTGCGTGTGTGTGTGTGTGTGTGTGTACTTGCATATATGTTGGGAGGTGCCCCTGGGATAGAACCAAGGAACTCAATTCTGAGGGCACAAGTGAGCTCTATTGTCTTTAGGCTTCTCGTGTTTTGCTACCTAATTAACTTTGGATAATTAACTTTCTACTGATGGTGCCCCAGAGGCTCTGTGCAATTACCTGTTAGCTGTTGGTGCCACTGTACCCGGGCTCTGGGCAGCCTCCCCCACCCTGGTCTGGGCTGAGGCTGGGTGGAAAGGGGATTGCTTGGCAGGCTCCCTGAAGTCCTCCAAGGCATATGGGCTCCCTGCTGGTCACCTCATTAAGTATCCCCAAATAGGGGAGTCCGCAGTTGGTCCAAGTAATGGGGCGCGAGTGAGATCTGCCTGGGAATGTGAACTGAGGTGCGAGTGACTGGAGGAGCATGGCAAGCAGGGGCGAGGAGGAGGGAAGACATGTGAAGCCTGGGTCAACGAGCCAGGGGAAGGCTGGGGCACTTGAGGCCGAGAACACTCTTGGGTCTGGGTTCTGGCCTACTGCTCTGGGTCTCAGGCGAGGACACAGGAGCTTTGCGCATAGACAGCAGGAAGAAAAGCTGGCTGTGGAGGCTTCATTGCTGAGGATAGAGACTCTCTCCCACTTCAGCCAAAACAGGACTCCTCAGGGAACAAGAAGTTCGAGGTCTGCTGCCAGCCCCTCTCCCCTTACTCCTGAGCCCTGCAGTTGGCGCTTCTGGGGCCGAGCCTTCCCTGTTCTCCCCGCAGGGGACAAGCAGAGGCTGAAGCCTTACGTGGACCTCCTGGCGGAACCCATGATGTATGAGGACCCAGCCCTGGGGGCTCTGGACTTCACCCAGGAGCTGGATCCAGCCTGGCTGATTGTGGACACTGTCATAGGGGAAGGTGAGCCCTGCTGTTTCCTCTAGGTGGCAGCACAGAGTCACTTCCTTCTGGCCTTCCCTGAGGAGCCCCGCTGGCCTCTCCTCTGGCCCCAGAGGTCCCAGATGGGTTCCTCTCTGCCCCACCCTGTCTCCTTGAACTGCTGTGGTCACAGCCCCCTCATTGAGTGTCCTGGAATAGCCCCCACCTCATACACAGCCTGCCTCATGCATTACTTGGATGGACTGTGGTTATGGAGCTTTTGATAAAGAGCATTAGATACATCATTTTTGTCAATGGGAGGTGGGCTGGGGGCAGGGAGTGTCACTGTATCCAGGATCAGGCTCTTCTCAGATGGTTCCCAAACGTGGGAGGGGTTCAGAGCCTCCCTCACTCCACATTCTACCCGACCAGGGCCCAGTGTCCTTGGGCTGCCCTGATCCCTTGGGTCACCAGGGGAAATGGAACTGAGCAGAGAACAAAGCTTGGCAGTGTCCTCGCTGATTGTGCGGCCACACCAGCCAAGCTTGTCCAGAGGAACTCGGGGAAGAGAGTGGCAGTGGTCAGCCTCTCTGGTCACTTGTGCTCTGCCCTTCACGAACACAGCCCAGTGCAACAGCACAGCGCCCATCAACCCAACATTTACTGAGCACCTACTGTTCTCCGAGAACCGGGCTAACCCAGGAGACAGGGGATTAGCTGAACAGGTTACAGAAATGTACTTCTGTCCTGGACTCCTGCCTCCTTCCCCAGGAATGTTAGCCGAGCCCTTGTCCCAGAAAGGGCACACCAGGTGTCTGATCCAGAAAAGAAAAGAGAGCTTGGGGACTAGAGGGTATCATCCACCCCCTGATAGTGCATTGGACCATGATCCTGTTTCTTTTTCCACCCAGGAGAGTTTGGGGAAGTGTATCAAGGGACCCTGAGAATCCCCAGCCAGGACTGCAGGACTGTGGCCATTAAGACCTTGAAGGACACGTCTCCAGACGGCCAGTGGTGGAACTTCTTTCGAGAGGCAACAATCATGGGCCAGTTTAACCACCCGCACATTCTGCGCCTCGAAGGCGTTGTGACAAAGAGTATGAGGATTGGTCTCCATGAGTGGGGGCGGGGAGGAAGGGGAGAAGGGGTGAGACCACAAGAAGTGGAGGGAATCTGTTTTGCCAAGGGTAGGAAACCTGGTTCTGGTGGTTTTGGGTAGAGATGGGATGAAGGCTTCCATGGTGACCTACTTTGTGTCTCAGGGAAACCCATCATGATCATCACGGAGTTTATGGAGAACGGAGCCCTGGATGCCTTCCTGCGGGTGAGGAGGGCAGAGGACCAGCTGGGAAGGGGGGTGCACCATGAATCCCTGGTCTGGGAAGAAGCAACTCTGCCCATTCCCTAACCCCTCCCCTTCACCCTGCTGCAGGAACGGGAGGACCAGCTGGTCCCTGCACAGCTGGTGGCTATGCTGCTGGGCATTGCGTCTGGCATGACCTACCTCAGTGACCACAGTTATGTCCATCGGGACCTGGCTGCCAGGAACATCTTAGTGAGTCAGAACCTGTGCTGCAAGGTGTCTGACTTTGGCCTTACCCGTCTCCTGAACAACAAGGATGGGACCTATGAAACTCAGGTGAGAGCACTTTATTCGCCGTGTACACATGTGCACACACTATTTCATGCCGTGCATACAGGCACAGCTGTACAACAGATACAGGACGCGTGCTCCTGTGGACACAGTGACTTCATGGTGGCCATCCTCCATGCCCCGAAACACATCCCCGTTCTGTCCTATGTGCCCTTTTAGGGAGGAAAGATCCCCATCCGTTGGACAGCACCTGAAGCCATTGCCAATCGGATCTTCTCCACGGCCAGTGATGTGTGGAGCTTCGGGATTGTGATGTGGGAGGTGCTGAGCTTTGGGGACAAGCCCTACGGGGAGCTGAGCAATCAGGAGGTGAGCCTGGGCACTCCCCACAGTGGTCTTCTCTCCAAATCCTCCCGTGGCTCTTCCTGCACATAGCCTTACTTCTTACTCACCTAGTCTTTCTGCACTTCTCTTCCCTCTGGTTCTCTCTGCCTCACACCCTGTGCTTCTTCCTAGTGCTCAGGGGTGGAGATGAGGGAAGTTAGAGGCTCCTCTTTTTTTTTTTTTTTTTTTTTTTTTACATTTTTTATTATTATCTGTGTACATATTTTAACATTGCCCCCCCTTCCCCAAACATACCCTCCCTCCCCAGAGTTTTGTGTTCATTGGTTGTACTTATATGCATGTATTCAAGTCTAGAGGCTCCTTTGCCATGATCTCGCACAAACAGAGATTTCTTAGGGGCTGCCAGGTTAGCTTCCTACGTCGGGCTTCCCTCGCCTCTCGCTTGCCACAGGTAATGAAGAGCATCGAGGATGGGTACCGGCTGCCCCCTCCTGTGGATTGTCCCGCTGCTCTCTACGAACTGATGAAGAACTGCTGGGCCTACAACTCCGACCATCGGCCCCACTTCCACCAGCTAAAGACGCAGTTGGAGCGATTGCTGAGCACCCCTCACACCCTGCGGACCATGGCCAACTTTGATCCCAAGTAACTGCACTGGGGAGGACGATGGGATTCGGAGGGCAGATCTAGAATGGAAATGGGCATTTCAGCCACACCCACCACATGCTGGGCCTGCCAACCTCCGGGCAGAGTCCAGCACAGGAGGCATAACTGCAGTGTGCAACACGGGGGAGTGGCCACCTTGATGAAGATTTGGTCCCACCCTTGACAGCTGTAGTTTGATAGAAAACAGGAAGCAAACAGTGAGATGGGAAGCAAGTATAAGCAGGGCTGACACCTGACACCTGCTGGGTCACTTACATTGGGGTGGGGAGAAAGACTCTGGTAAGTGATGGACAGTTGACTGAGTTTCCTGACTGCGAAGGGCAGCCCTGTGGGGTCTGGAAAGGCTCCCAGATCATGTGCTGCCCAGCATGGGTTTGGGGAGCTGTGGGTGGGCTGACTGTAAATAATTCAGGGTGACATCAGCACCCAGTTCAGGAATAGAGGCCAGAGACGAAGCTGGAGAGGTAGGAGGGTCAGTACATACTCTGCTGAGAAGTTTGGACTTTATCCTGAGCACAGAGAACTATTGACCAGTTTAAAAAAAAAAAAAATGCCCATGAGAGGAACATGGTCAGGATTGCATTTTACTGAAAACATTGGCAGGATGTGGAGAAGGAACTGGTGGGGCCAGGGAAGGTGGGAGACTGGCAAGGCTGGACTTCGCATGCTTTATCGGGCAAACCAGCCCTGGCGTACTGGCCTCTGTATCAAACCACCATATATAACCTTGTTTCTGGGAGAAAATGTGCTCCAAGTTCCAACTTTTGCAACTATCTTTTTGGAGCACAACTCCCTTGTACTCTGGAGACGGCATGTGCTAATCTTTCTGGAATGTTGGATATGCTTCCCCCAGTAGATTTACTTTGCTAATGGTTTTTGGCTCCGGCTGGCTTTCGTACAGGAACGCTCATTGTATTGTGGGTGTCAGAGTGCAAGAGTAACAGCCAAGGTTGTAGGTGGCAATCAGGGCTGCTCCCAGAACTCAAGGGGCCACCCTGGAGGCAGGACCACACCCAGGCCCGGGCCTCTGCTGCTTCTCAGCTGGGAGAGATGATCTGTTCCCGGAAGAGATGGGCTGATGGTAACCTCGTGTTGGGAACTTTTCAGGGCTGCCACCTCCCCCAGCATGGTCAGCCTGCTCTCGGCTGTGAGTGCGCCAGGAAACAGGCCAGGAAACGGGTTCACAGACAATGGCCTGGCTAATCCGCACAGTTTTGATAATCTCTGTGCCCAGACACCAATTTGAATGCTGGCCCCAGATGCTTACAGGCCAGGCCAGGCCCCTTCCCCCTCCTCACATGACTGAAAGAGTCCCCGTTCCATCCCACAGGGTAACCCTTCGCCTGCCCAGCCTGAGCGGCTCAGACGGGATTCCCTATCGAAGCGTCCCCGAGTGGCTGGAGTCCATTCGCATGAAACGCTACATTCTGAACTTCCGCTCAGCTGGGCTGGACACCATGGAGTGTGTGCTGGACCTGACAGCCGAGTGAGGACCCTGGGGACCCTGCAGGGGAGGGTTGCTGGGGTTGGAGCCTGCACATTCACAAACCCATTTCCTTGACCACAGGGACCTGGTGCAGATGGGGATCACGCTGCCAGGACACCAGAAGCGCATTCTTTGCAGTATTCAGGGATTCAAGGACTGAGCCCTCCCCCGTCCTGTCCTCAGGAAGTAAGGATGGGGCCAGGGTCACTCAAGTCCTTTCCCTCAGCCTACAGGGCCTTGGTGCTGTTCAGGCCCACCCTTCCCTGAGAAACTTGCCTTTGGAGCCTGGGAGCCTCTTCGTTTTCTAAAGGGAGGTTGGGGTCTAAATCACCGTGCTGGGAAGAGGGTTTAATATATATATATAGATATATATATAGTTATACACATATATATATTTTTATAAGTAAACAGGAGCTGAGTTTTCACTGGACCCCTGTTTTATTTTTATCCCTCCGTCTCTTCCATTTGTAGCACAAGAGTCCACTGCTAAGAATTTTGGAAAACAAGGTTTTTTATTTGTAGCTGTAGCCACAACCTGGCGGCATGGGGGCAGGTAGGAACGTCCAGGCCAGTGAGCCCAGCCCAGCCTCCTGGGGGCTCAGGGGACTCGGCCCTCGGCAACCATAGTAGAGGCTGGGGGGTGGGGGTGGGGGGCAGCTGAGGGCATTTGTGCAGCAGTGAAAGCAGCAGCGCTCAACCTGGCGACCCTCGGGGGTGTTATCTGAAGGTGGTGAGAGGTCCCTGCAGGATGGGAGAGGAGACTAGAAACCCAGAACCAGGACTCTGCTCCTGGGTTCTGTTGGGACCCTGGATCAGGGACCTTGGGATACTGGGTGGGGTTTGGAATGGAGGGAGGGGCTAGACAAAAAAATAACCCGGGGCGGGGCCGGTGGAGGAGCAGGGTGGTCTCTGTGGGTGGTCCACTGACGGAGAATGAACTCCCAGTGAGGAAGGGGCCGGTCCTCACTCAGGTCTGGGCTCTGGCAGTGTGGCACTTCCGGCAGAGCACGTGGCCATCCAGGGGGAAGCAGCCATTGTCGTCGGCCTCAATGGACAGAGCCTTCCCACAGTCCTAGGAGAAAGTGGAAGAACCCCCTGATGGGAAAGGCCCCTGTGCACCCCACACCGCCTGTGCCCCCACAACCCCTACTCATCCCCCACGTTCACGCATCCAGGACGAGGATGGGCAGTGGATAGAGCTGCACCCATCCCAATAAAGAATGTGGGGCCATTCCCACACGTCTCAGCTCCATTCTCACTCTCCTCTCTTCTGAGTCTCAGTGAGACCCCAGGCTGGTCACCACCACAAAGCATGGCACCCTTCCTTGCCACTGCTCCGTCTCCTATCTTGGCTTATCTGCAACTAAGTGACCCCACAGACACCCCTCTACCCGCTTCCGGCAGCGACCAAAGCATCCGGGCTGGGTGGGCCTGGACACTGCCACTGATCACCCTCAAAACTGCAGGCAGGCATTGCTCACCGCCTGGCCAGTGAATAATGCCCCCAGCCCCCAGCCCCCGGGGACACTGACCTCACACTTGTAGCACTTCATGTGGAAGTTCTTGTCCAGAGCCACCACTCGCACAGTCTCCTCCCGGCCGGGCTCGGGCATGATGGGCTCTGCACAGACAGAGCACCTGGGCGCGTATTGCCTGGAGGGCAGCAAGGTGGTACAAGTCGGGATGTGGGGAGAGGCGCCCGTGCTTTCCCCAGAGCGCAGGGAGAGCAGACGGTGGTGCCATGGCAACAGGCAGACTTCTCTGCCCACCTTCCCCACATCTCAAGGTAGAGAGGAAGCCCAACAGAAAGGCCTAAGGCCAGCCACCCTGCTCTCCCAAAACCCACCCAACCCAAACCCACTACCACCAGGTCCTCACCCCATCACATCCATCCTGCAGAAAGCACGCCCAGAGGAGCCCTGCTGGTCCCATCCCTGGACCCCTGACCCTAGTCCACCCCCCACCACGCAGGTGTCTCTGCCCGATTGCTGGGAGGTACAGCGGGACATGAAGCCCTGGCCACTCAAGGTGGAATCCTAAAAACGCACCCCTCAAACACAGAGGTGGGAGCCAGATTCTGTGGGGTCCCTGTACCACCCTCTAGATACCTTACAGGTTTTGCCGCTGGCCTGAGAAAGGAGCCACCTCATGAACCCTTTCCAGGGGGAACCAGAGTTCCTAACAACTGACCTCCAAAGGAGCATCTACAGCCTGGCATGAGTGAAATGAAGTCCCTCCCGCACATGTCGCCAAACCCCAGACCACAACCAGAAGCTTCAGGGAGCCAAGGGCCAGGGGACCGCCGGGAGCAAGACTTGCTACCTAGCTTTCAGGCTCCTGGACAACTTAGTCCCCGTGAACTCGTCCCTGCCCTCCAATAGGACATGCGGCCAGAAAACCAGACCAGGGGTTTGGCGCTGTCTTGGGGTCAGAGGGGCAGCCTGGCTCCCAGACAAACCATGGCTGGCCCCAAAGGTAGTGGCGGGTCCTCACTTGTGGTAGTCGGGGACGCAGTGGGGCCGGTTGGCCTGGTCCACAATGAAGGAGGTGCCCTCTAAGGGGCAGGCGCAGACCACGCAGGTGAAGCACTGAGGGTGGTAGGCTTTGCCCGTGGCCCTCAGCATGCGGTCCGTGATGGGCTGCCCGCAGGTGTTGCATTTCTCCAGGGTGTCCTGAGGAGGGAGCAGTAGGAGATTGGCAGGAAACTGTACCCGACAACCAGCTGCCGAGGCAGGTCTCCACACGTTCGCACCCCAACCTCTGGCTGAGCCCCACCGTGGCCCTCGGCCCCAAACCTGACTCACTGTGTAGCAGCCCTCGCAGTAGGGGGCCCCCTCCACGCTGTAGAACTGCTGTCCCTGCAGCTGCTGCGCACACTGGTGGCAGGTGAAGCAGGGGATGTGGAACAGCTGTCCCAGAGCGCGCACCGCAGGCTGCGCCCGCGCCAGGGGCTGCTGACACCGGCCACAGGATTCTGCGAAGGCCAAAGAAGATAAATAAATGGGAGTCAGCTGATTTCCTCGAAGAGAGAGTGGAGCCACAGGAATGGCTAGCACAGTAATGAAGGGGGGGTGGGGGGAGAGACAGACATCCCAGCAAGGGGGCGGAGGGCTCACCACTGACGGCCACGTTCTGCCTCTGAGGATGCTCCATGTCCTGCATGAGCTGCTGGGTCAGCTGCTCCAGCTCCTCCACCTCCTTCAGACTCAGGGGTCCGGGGGCCCCAGCGGAGCGCACCTGAAACGCCAACACTCTCTTTATACCTTCTCAAGGGTCACCCCCACCAAGAGCATTCCCCAACCAGCTTACCTGCTTTCGTCCAGGAAGGACTAACTCCCCTCCCACTTCCCAGGTGCTCAGATTGGACCCTGAAAGCTCCTCTCTACCCCTCCCAGACCCCAGGATAAGGGGGAGGGGACGACCTTCCACCCCCTTTGCTCAAACGCCCCTGGGCAGCCACACACAGGCCAGAATGACTGAGCGGACGGAGGCCACGCACACAGCAGCTCAGGTCACTGAAAGCACCGGACACACCAGGCCACGCATCAACTCCACAGAGCATGCTGGGACATGGCCCCCCACAGGAGAAGTCGGCACGAGGGGCTGCACACCCAGGCGCGCACACACCTACCCGTCCCGCCTGCTGCTGAGCTGCTCTGTCAGCGTGAGGATACAACACAGGCAGGAATCACAGGTTAAACCCCACAGCTGTCTGCAGCAGCCCAGCCCCCAGCCCTCCACACAGAGGTCCAGGGTCCCTCCTGACCTCACTTCCTCCCCTGGAGGCCTCAGGGAAGGGCCTACCTTAGGGGATCCTGAGAGACCTTGGGGGTGGGCGTGGGATGAGGCTGCGGGCACTACAGGACCCTGACAAGTACCAGGGGGAAGCACCACAGGCTCTGTCTGACGCCACCAGCATTACCATGAGACACTTCGATAGGAACACTAGTTGGTTTTGCGTTAATGGAAAAGTCCACGTAGGACTGTGGTCACTAAAGGTTCTGCCTGCCCATGCCTTCATTCCCGTAACACCTGGAGTCTCCGTCTCCTACCAGCTACCTACCTCCTCCCACAGCCACCTTCCCCCTCCCCCCGCTGACCTCCTCTCCCCCCTTTCCCCCCACCTCAGCCTGCCCCCCCCCACCCCTTCCCCGCTCTGCATCCAGAGCTGTGCTGCCTGGAGATGCACACACACAGAAGGCCCATGATCATCTTATGTCTACAAGGCTCTCTCAGGCACTCTAGCCACCCTGAGCCACCATCACTTATCTGGACCAATCTCGGCCCAGACCACACCACCTGCTTCCTGTTCCTGCCTTCAGGCTACAGAAGTAGGCAGAGAGGCTGCAGAGTGAGTTCACAAAACACAAAACACTGCAGGGCCCTGGTGACCTCAGCCCCGGTCATCCGCAGCTCACAGCTCAGCTCACAGCTCAGCTGTCTGGCTTTCGGCTCCTGTGGGTTTCCAGTGGCCTTCCTTCCCCACAGCAGTTGTTTCAAACATTTCCATCCCCCCCGAGCCCCTCGCTCTCACCAATTACCTCATCGCCTACATGGCTGAGAAGATGGAAGCTGGCCAGCTCGCGCTCCCTCAGTGTTCCTCCTCTCCACAGAAACACTGCAACGATCCTGTCCTTGCTCCCTGGGAACGCCACGGCGGGGGGGGGGGGGGGGGGGGGGGGGGGGGGGGGGGAGGGGGTGGCGGGCATCACCTCTTCTCCTCCAGACTCGTGAAGCAGCAGCCCCTACTCTCAGGCACCTCTAACCCCTGCACCAGCTTCTTCCTCTTGTGTTCACACACATACCTGAGCCCCTGTCTCCCAAGTTGAAAAACCACACACACACACACACACACACACACACACACACACACACAGGTCCTGCCCTAGTCCAACTCTGCCAACCCCCCAGAGCAGGCCACTCTGGAAACTGTTTCCTCACCACCCATGCAGTCCACAGCTCCTTTCACTGTCCCCATCAAAGGGCACAAATGGACTATCCCACGGCCTCAGGTGACTTCCAAATAGTCACATCTGTGACCTTCCTGTAGTCGTCATCCTCCTCAACCCCCTACCGAAGGGCTCCTCAGCCATCACATCTGTCCCCCAAGATTCCATCCAGCCATGACGCTCCTCCTCTTTCTGCCACTGTCCCCCCTCCCACCTCACCAGCGGGGGCATCACCCAGGTCCCTCCCAAGCCCACGGCTCCTGCTGTGCAAGCACCCTGGGCTGCTTCAGTACCACTGCCCTGAAGACAACCCGGAGTCCTGGGCCTCTCCTACAACCTGGCCCTCCATGTCTAACTGAGTGACAGTTCCAGCTGAAGGCAAGTCCTCTTGGAACCTGTTGCTCAATATGCCGACAGCTGGACCCCTCCTCTTCCCGTCCAAAGCATTTCCCCTTCTGGACTTCTCTATTTTGTCAGCATGACTGTCACTCATTCCCCACACACACCCAGGCATTTTTTTTACCCCTCCCCTTCCTCTTCCAACTGCTTATCGGTTACCAGGTCCCAGAGGCATTTCCTTTGACGGCTCTTATCCCCTCATACATCACTTATCTCCAACCTCTAGTACACACCTCGGCTGCAAACACTACCCCTAAAGCTTCCAAAAGTATGGCTGTCACAGCTCCTCCAACCCACTCATACACCTACTGGAAAGCTACGAAGGATTTGCCAGAACTGACTGACTCTAGAACTTCCCAGAGGAACCTTCTACTTTCTAGTCTCCCAACACTCTGGTGTATTTGTGCCCTTGAGTTTTGCTCACGCTATTCCAATCCCAGAGCCCTTCACTCTCCTCTCTGGATTCTTAAGTCCGACCAGCCCTCAGAGCACACCAGCACCAGGACACCTTTCCCATGTTGACTCCTTGTATTCTGTATTATACCGTAAAAGCTGCAGCTTCTACGGTATAATACAGAATTCTGCACAGCTCATGGGTACTTGGCGTCTCTTCCAGCCCTATCCGTGCCTGCACATACAGAGACAGACGCTCCTGCTGGTTGGACTAGATGACCATCGGGATCCCTTCAACTCAGAGCACTTAGCTTCTGAACTAAAAGGTGGGAATGAGAGTTTTTCAATGTGGGGCACCCATGTACTGGATAAAGACCCTCAGCACTCTCTATGTGTTAGCTCCCTTGAGCTTCACAAACATTGTATAATAGGAGGTGGATATTGTTATTTCAAGGCCGGAAGCAGGCTCAACGTTCACCTCACTTGCCTAGGATGTGGTAAGCTGGGAGTTGGGAATTCTATCCCAGGTCCAGCTGACTCCCACAGGCTTAACCTCTTTGAGAGATCTCTTCCCTCCTGAGCACAGAGCACAGTGCCTGGCACTCAGCAGATGCTGGCTCAGCCAGTGCGGCCACTCTTATCACCCTCAGGCAGTGAGAATGTTCAGAGGAGGAGAGATTAACTCAAGAATCCAAGAAGGGGGAAGCACCAGGGTTGGACTGGTGATGAGGTCATCCTCCCCTCTAACATACTGGGGAAGGCCGGAAGGGATGGTCCACAACCCCCCCCCCCCCAAGTCAGAGCCTGTGCCGCTCCCGCTCCCAATCAGACCACACCAAGCCCCAGACCATGCCAGCCCCCCCCCCCCCCCCCCCCCCCCGCTCCAGTCCAAGCCTAGAGGCTGGAAACTCCTATCCCACCATCCCCACCCGCTCATCTTTGCCCTCGTTCTCTGGCTCCTGACTTATCCCCTGTGACCAGCACCCATGTCTCAGTCAGCCTCACCTGGTTTTGGTTTTGAGCCGGTGTGGGCACTGGGTGCTGCTTCTCCTGCACTCGGGGCTTCTCCCGCTGCTGAGCATAGGTGAAGCTGGGGGGCTGAGGGGAACCGGTGCCAGTGGAAGAGGGAGCTTGAGGGGGCCCCAACTTTTGATTGGGCTGTGGCCCGGGTCCACCTGGGGCTCCAGGGCTGAACTTGGAAGCCACAGGAGTAAACTTGGAAGCCACTGGAGAAAACTTAGGGGCTGGAGGTGGGGCTGGGGGACCTCGAGGCTGACTGTGAGCCAAAGGCACAGTCTGGGGCTGGGGCTGGGACTGGACATGGAGCTGGACCTGAGGCTTGGCCTGGGGCGGAGGATGAGGCTGCACATGGAACTGTGCCTGGCTCACAGGCTGCTGAGCCTGAGCCTGAGCCTGGGACACAGACTGGGAGCCCGAAGGGGCCTTCCAAGGAGGCAGGGGTGCTGTGCCCGCAGCTGCAGACTTAGTACTGGTCTTGGAAATGAATGGAGTGGAGACAGGCGGGGGTACATATCCAGATGATACCTGCAAGGGGAGGGGCAGGGGGAGAGAAGTGTGGTTGAAGGAGGGTACAGCTCTCCCCAGTTCTGTCCCCACTCCTTTCCTCCTCTCTGGTTCCTTACCCGGGCTTTGAAGGGATCATTCCTGGTCATGTCATCCAGCAGGGAGGACAAAGAGTCTATCTCCAGATCAATACTGCTCACCTTCTCCCTGGGCTAGAAGGTCAAGGGTCAGAACACCCATCCCAGTCCTCCATTCCCCCATCCAGGCAGAGGTAGAGGGGGCGGGGGGGAGGTCAGAAAGGACCCTCCCCTCCTTTCCCGCAGGGTGTCCTGGCTTAGCTGCCCCTCCCAGGGCCCGTACCTGTGGTGGGGGCGCAGGGCCCCCCTCCTCCGCCAGTGGAGGCGGTGGGGAGGGGAAGATCTCCTCCTCCAGAGGTGCAGAGGGAAAAGACTCCTCAATTGGGGGAGGGGGCGGCGGGAAGGCACCTCCCAGGGTGTCCTCCGTGTCCTCGCCATCCCCAAGGAGGGGAGGAGGTGGTAAGGGAAGGTCTGAGTAAGAAGGAGAAAAGAGAGCAGTCAGCAGGCGCCCCTCTCCCTACCCTATTCTCTAAGTTCCTCTCCTTCCACAGCGCTAACCCCTCACCCAAGAACTCTCAAGGGTCCCGGGGCGTGCGGGAAGGAAACGGGGGGGCATGGGGGCTCCGCGCAGGAGGGGTGCAGCTCCCGTTACACTTCGGGAAACGGACCCGGAGGCAAGATTCTCGCCCCGCATTCTCACCTCCCACCCCCGGGCGGGGACTTGGACCTGTCCCAGGAGCCCTGGCTCCCGGCCACGAGCTCCGCGATGAGGTAAGAACATCTGCTCGGGACAGGGTGGCTGTGCCCAGCCCCCCTCCGCTGCAACATTTCCAAACACCCCCCAACCCTTAAGCCACTGCCCGCCGCCGGCGCCCGCCCGGGTCCAGCCCCCCAGCCCCAGCCCCCAGCCCGGCTGCATACCTTCCGGGGGCGGCGGCGGGATCTCGCCCACCCGGCCCATCTGAGCGCGCTGGGCCCCGGCCGCCGGCACCGGCTCGCCGTCCCCGGGCCGGAAAGGGTTCACTTTGGGCTTTGGGGCCACCACCGGGGCGAACTTCTTCTGCGGCGCGTAAAAAGCCGGCGCCGAGACCGAGACGGAGATCGCGGGAGACGGGCGGGGGGCCGCCATGGCCAGGCCGGGCTGCTGCGGGGCGTGGGGGGCCGGGTGATGCGGCGCCGAGCCTGGCGGAGGCGGAGGCGGAGGACACCCCCCGCGGGCCGGCTCCCCGCGCCCTCCCCGCGCGGCTCCCGGCTCCCGGCTGCTCCCCGCGGGCCGGAGCGCGCGCGCCGCGTCTCGGTGGCCGCCTGCGCGCCGGGTCCGCGGACTCTGCGCCCCGGGTCCCCGAGCCGCCGCCTCCGTCCCGGCGGGGGAGGGCCGCGGAGCAGGGGGCGGAGAGAGGGGCGGGGAGAGCGCGGCGCCCAGACCGTACAAGGAGCGGCCCCGAGAGGGGGGCGGGGAGAGCGGGAGGGCCGACGCGGCAGGAAACTCCCCCAGGAAGGGGCCCCCGTCTGGCCCCTGGACCACAGCCTCCGTCAAGGTCCTCCCGCCCCGGCCCTCGCCCCCGCCCCCGCCGCCCGGGCGGCCGAGGACCACCCCTCCCCGCGCACAAGTCTCTGATGTCATTTCCTGACTTGCCCCCCTCCAGGCCAGGCCCGCGGTGCCCGCGATCTGACTCACCGGCCCCGCTCCGGGGTGCGCCCGCGGCGAGGTCAGTGGGCGCCGCAGCCGCAGCCCCTCTGCGCTCCTCTCCCGGCCCCGCTACCTGCGCCCGCCACCTCCCCGCACAGCTGCCAGCCCTGCACCCCAAATCCTACCCACCCCCTCCCGGGGTCGCCCGGATTGGCAAGACTAAGATAAAACTGGGCTCCAGGGTGGACGGAGAGGGTGAGTGGGCGTTCTCCCTTCCCACGCCCTTCGGGGACCTGGGTGGGTGGGCGTGCGCGCGTACGTGTGTGTGTGTGTGTGTGTGTGTGTGTGTGTGTGTGTACACGCACCTCATGGAGCAGCCCCTTGAGGCTTCTAGGAATTTGCAACCCCCTTGTCCCCGCCCGCAGATTTATCTCTCTGTTAAGATTTGCGGGAAAGAGGGGAGGACCATAGACCCCGGGAATGGGGGCCGGGGGAAGCGGAGGCAGAGGCGGAGGCGGCCTACGGGCTAGGGAGGATGAGCGTGGACGCGGACGAAACGTCTCCACAGTTTTTCAGCGCCCGCAGGGACCCCTCGAGGAGCCTTTGGGCAGCTGGGTGGCCCCCGGGAGACTCGGAGACTGCGCTCGGTGGAGCCCCCCACTGGTCCGACCAGATTCCTCTGCCTTGGATTGAGCCCAGGCTAACGAGAAAAAAAAAAAAAAGGACAGACCTGGGCTCATTGAACACTGAAATGAACCAATCCGCCGCTTAAATTCTTGCACACTCACTACTTACAAACTACGGAGTCATTTGGCCTCCCAGCCTGTAAAAATCCAATATATCACCCTCGGGCGCTGCCTTTTCTCTGCCTTCTAAGGCAGTTCCCTTGTGCATGCCCTACTCTGTTTCCAGTTCCTTCGCCCTTCAAATCGGCTACAGCCTACTCTCAAGGAGCATCTGGGCTCTGCTGGAGAGATCATCCAGAGCCACCCCTGACATTCACCAGAAGAAATTAGGCTGGGAGCTTGAGAGAGGGGCCCGGGGTCACACCCACTCAGCCCCAAGGAAAGTCTAGGCTGGAACCGTTGTCTTGAGGACTCTAAATCAGCAGAGCTCACTCCGCTACACCCTGGTGTCAGAGGAAGCATCACTGGAGACAGGAATGCAGAGTGAGGTCCGGGTGCAGCGACTACCCTGAGTGTCCAAACTAAGCGGCAACTCTCTTCATCCTCTCCGCTTCATTTTCTCCGTCCGTAGAAGAGTGGTGATATTTAATCTACTTACTTTATTGCATTAAATGGAGAAGTAAATGAAATTCAATATCTGAAGTGATATAAAATACTTGATATTATTATTCAAGTCCCACTTCTGCCCAGAATGGAAATTCTGACAGTTAACCTAAGAGCGTTATTCGTATGTTCTCTTCTGAGTTGCCAAGCCAATCTCTCCTGGGCCTCAGGGTATGCAATGCCTGCTTCTTCCTTCAACCTTATCAAATACTTAATTATGCCTAACACTACATCTTCATCTCCTTCTCAGAACCCAGTGACCTGTCTTTTCTCTGGTGTCTCACTGTCTTGGTCACGGGTGTTTCACACTGCCCTAAGCATGTGTGGCCACGCATGATATAAAGCCCGTCGTGCAGGTATCAGCTGGTCCTGGGCTTGTCCTTATGAAAATAGGCTAGAGATTTGATGCTGGATTTCTGTGCAGATTGGAAACGGTGTCTTGGGCTTTCCAGACCAAAAGTCTTCTTGCCAATCCTTCAAAATATACCCACTTGTTGGGGAGAAGTTAGGAAGATGGTTTCCAGATAGTGTCACAAGAGGAGAAGCTATTTACAGTCTCAATGTCTCCTTAAGGAATGTGCATGTGCAAAAACATAGTATGTTTAATTGTTAGGCAGCTGACCCTATTTATAAGTCAAGAGTAGAAGAGTGAGTAGGCAGGCTTAGTTGTACTGACAATTAAAAGCATTTGAGATGCAGAATATCAAAGCTGAGTTTCCAGCCAGCCATTCTAAGTACAAGTAGAAACACACCGAGTATCCCAGAACAGGTTTGCTAGGCCAGGATGTCTCCAGCAGAGCTGCAGGGTCAATGCCGGTAAAAGGCACCTGGTAATCAGGGAGTGGCCCTAATGATTCTTAGGAATTTTTCTTGAGTAAACAATTCTAATTGATCTCAGGTAGAATGTGTAAAAGAGAGCAAGTGCACAGATGTTCCCACCTAATCATTTCCAACAGCTTGGGCCGGGCAAGAAGAGGAAGTACAAAAATGTGCAGGAACCTTTGCTACCTGAGAATTTATGTCCACCAGGTACCAGAAAGTTTTCTTCAGGGTCTTACAACATAAAGTAAGCAGTTAGAACCAGCCAAGGGTGAGGTGGGGGGGGTGGGGAGGTAGGAACAAGGGCAGTGGGGAAAAAAAAAAGAAAAAAGAATTTTCTGAAGTGAAGAGAGATGCGATCAGGTTCTTTCTATATGCGGGCTGCAGATGGCCAGAGGGTCAGTTTTGTACCAGGCACTATGCTAGGCACTCTAGCAACAGCAACCACCATAACAACATCAGCAATAATGTGTTCAGCTTCATCACAGTGAGTGCTATTATGGTGCTAGGCACAATACTAAACACTGTAAGCAAAAGCCCCCATTTAATCCTCACAGCAAACCTGTAAGAAATGTACATTATGATCCCATTTTTCAGTTAAGGAATTTGAGGCCAATTAGCCATTGCATTTTTCACCCCTGAAACTGCAGAAGAAAATTTTTCTAATGCAGATATTTTATTGAAGACACCCCTGCTCCCCACTCACATCCTTACAGTCCTCCGTCTTCCCTTCAGGAGCCCGAGTCTGGTACTTCAACAACCTCTTCAGGTCAGCTTCAAGTCCATGCCCCACTGTAAGTCCTTCAACCACCATTTTCTTTTCGGTCACATGGCAACATCAAGTTCTGTCTGTCTGTCTGTCTCTTTATGTGTGTGTTTATATAGAGAGAAAAGATAGAGGGGAGGGCGGGGGAGAGTTTTGTATAATAGAACTTTTCCAGAAGACTTCTCCAAGTATTGTTGAAAGTGGTTGGTGCCATTGCTGGTGTGTTCAATGGTTAGAGCGTCAACTCACACACCTAAGGGTCAAGGGTTCAATTCCTGGTCAAGGGCATGTGCCTGGGTTGCAGATTGGATACACCACCCTGGTAAGGGCGTGTGTAGGAGGCAACCAATCCATATGTCTCTCAGGTAGATGTTTCTCTCCTCCCCACCCTCTCTGAAAAGCAATGGGAAAAAATATGCTCAGTTGAGGATTAACAAACATAAATAAAAAAATAAATAAAAGTGGCATAGCTGGTTTGGCTCAGTGGATAGAGCGTCAGCCTGTGGACTGAAGGGTTGCAGGTTCGATTCCAGTCAAGGGCACATGACCAGATTGTGGGCTTGATCACCAGTGTGGGGTCTACAAGAGGCAGCCAATCAACGATTCTCTCTCATCATTGATGTTTCTGTCTCTCCCTCTTCCTCCCTAAAATTAATAAAAATGTATTTTTAAAAAATAATAAATAAATAAAAATGGTTGGTGTTAGGGTATAGAATTGGAGAAAGCAGAAAGCTTTTATTTATAACTGTTGACTTTTCCCCATGAACATGTAAACTTTTGTCATTTAAAAAATGGAAAAGAAAGAAAAATGACAGAGCCATCTCTTTTTCCTAATATCAGAGTGTTTTCTTTTCTACTTTCTCCCAAATTGACTCCTCACTTGCATTGCTTGTCAGGACAAAAGGCTCTCACGGGTGGGGCTACAGACAGTGGAGGGGTCGGTGGGAAGGGAGTGGGGTAGGGTGAACCATCCAGCGAGAGACCTTGTTGGAATCTTGGTGGCAAAGCCGAGGAAGAACAGCTTCCTGCTCTGCCCCTGGGTCACCCCGCCCCACCCACACTACTCCAGTTCCGAGGAAAGGGATGGACTGACAACCACAAATGGCCCCTTTTTTCTCCTTTCTTCCAGGTGAGCTGACATCATGTTCTGCACATCATGTTCTGTGCCTTTTTTCCACTCCACTCCCCAGCCTCAGTTCAATCAGGATTTGCCAATAACTTCATATTTTAGGTGCGCTGGGTATAGTCAATATGCCTTCGAGAAACCTCCATCTAGAGTCAAAAAACACTTACATGGGTATTTTAATATGGTAAGATTTTAAGATTAGAAAAAAAACTTCCACCCACCCAATAGTGCTGGCTCGTGTGGCTACACCAATGACCACAGCTGGTGGCCTTCTCGCCATTTAGAAATTATTATTGTCCCACCAGGTCCAGGCAGCAGTGCGCAGAGCCTGCACGGGGCATCAGAGGAGCAGCAGAAGGGAGGGGTCCACACCTCCCAAGGTCTGAGCCAGATGGGCACCCAAAGGCACTGCAAGTGTCAGCAAGGTAGCAATGTGTGGTGGCTGCGGGGGGCAGAGCGAGGCAGATGGTCACATGGCGGAGAGTCAGCAGCTGAGGGA